TATGAATATAATATACAAGTTTCACTTTTTAAATGGAATTACTGAAATAAATCTACTTTTTCATGATATTCTAATTTTATGACCAGCACCTGTATATTSTTGTGTGATGCTACTGATGCAATGGTCTGATTTGTTGTTTTTTACTGGTTATACATGTGGGGATGTGCAATATGTGTTTTGATTGGGCAATGTGTGTTCTTTTTATTCAATAGGTGATTTCATTGTGGCGTTGGTGTTCATTGTGTGTTTTTATGGATTGTAGTGTACTTAACTGTGGTCAGAGGGTCCGGTGGTATAGTGCCTCTGTCAGTGTGCCCCAGGGCAGCTGTGGCTACGATGTAGCTTACCACCATCAGTGTTGTGAACAGGTAAAGCGCTTTGGGGTTATACAAGCTATACAAGTTCAGGTCATTTACTTTTGGTAGCACAACTTTTGTTTAGTGCACAATGTCAAAGATAAATTTCCTCTTATGGAAAATGATCAATCCATCAATCAATAAAATTCATAAATAGTAAATCATTTAAAGCATTTTTGCATGAACTGCTGCAAAATTTTATATATTTGTCAGAATTAAACTGTTTCTCCATAACTTATAACTTTTAAATGGAAATCCATTTCAACATGATAGAACTCGACGCCAACCGTCGCTGATGTCCCCTAGTTGTCATTCAGTAATGATCCATTGTTAGCAGTTTTGTTAGAATCATCACAGGCCTTCATTATTTAAATAAACTCGTAGGGTGAACAGACGGACGGGGGGCTGAAGTGATCTTGTCAAACTACCACACAAATGTTGAGCAGGTCTACCTTATGATGCACACACTTGGTTCAGACTGGATCATGTATGTGTGATTTAGAGCCAACTGTATGTCAAAGGCGTGATGGCTAATTAGGCCACGCCCTCCAAAAATTGGACTGCATTCCAGTAATGGGGTGGATTAGGATCAACCATAGCAAATTGCGTGTTGACTGGCTAAAATACGTGGAATTTAGAACTAAACGCATGTCAGTAGCGTGATGTCTGACTTCGCCGCACAGCCATGACCACGCCTTTCACTAAAAGGTCTTTGTGCTCGAAAACAAGTGAGATCAAGTTCTTATCTGTGTTCTGACATGATTTGTTGCTCATTAGATCAAGACGGTCAGAGATGGAGCAAAAAGAAGGTCACTTCCTGTTGTGAGGGGCCGTGGCTTTGATGACGCCATGTGGTATGGTCGGGCATAGAACATGGGAGACTCATACCAAGTTTGGTGCATTTTAGCCTTTCTATGTGAACGTTACAGCTTTCTGAAATTGTAGCAGATAGACAGAGAGCATCCCCTGCCTCTGCGGACAAAAAGGCTGGATTTTTCCTTTATTTTAAATCCCTTCATAATATTTTTACTTAGATTGATTTTTTTCTTTCTCCTTTTCTACCAAGTACSCAGCTTGAAGTGACGACATTAGAGCAGCAGCTGTGAGGGTCACGCATCTGTTTAGAAACAACTTCCTCCAAGCGAGCAAACAGACCCTGATTTCCTGTGGGTGTGAAACTTTACATCTCCTCTGCTCGGGTCGCTTCACAGGCTTCACATCTGCTTCGTCACTTCAGAGTTCTATTTACYGGCCGCTGAGGATGAAAGTGCAAGTTCAGTGCTGTGTTTGTAAGCCAATATTACCTTTCTGCACTTTGTCACACAGCAGGAAAATCTCGTCGCCTCCTTTGCAGCTGCCGGAGTTTCGGTTGACTCTGCAGATCTTTAACTCGGCTGTGTTTGGTGCTCCTGCCAGARGAGAACAAAACGTTTTTAAAAACGTGATCGCAATCAAGTTCTGCTTTACAGAAGGGCTTTAWTTACTAGGCAGAGACATTTGAAAAAGGATGTGGTGAATTTGAAGATGAATTCTTGTAAATACCTTCAGGCTGAGGAGAAAATGCAAAGAGGAACAAAAAGCTACAAAGGTTACAGAAAACTGAGTTCATGTGTCGTTTTGACTMGTGCTGCTCGGGTTTACCATTACAGTTGGCTTTTCTTTGAATCTGTCTTCAGAAAAATCCTTCTACTCATTTATATCACACCAAACCAGATAAAGAAAAAGGGGCCTTTCTAAAACTTTGCCCTATATCCACGTCAAATGAAGTTAATAGATTACGGTGGTAAAAATAAGACTTTAGATAAAGTTACGTTGAATGATGGAGATGTAGCCAATTTGGTGTAACTTCAGAAATATTAGTCCATGTGATCTCATTCAGGATGTTAGCTCAGAGGATGTGATGCTAATGACTCTCAGCTACTYCCAGACTAAAGGTTWAACAAATACCTGTAAGATAAACAGGTGTGGGTCAGATCTGGTGTCAAGCTGGCACTGCAACTGGATGTAGGCCAGGCACTGTTTTTAAGAAGGCATGCCACAACTGGCRRGGTCATGYTTTGGTTTATGAGGTGCTGGCCCATGAATGGACCACCTCCTTGAAACCACATCTGGACCACTGAAGGGCCGTCACTCTTTACGGTGTCTGGGCTGACTGTTAGTGCGCTGTGTAGGCCAGAGCTGGGCCAGYCTAATTTTGCTGTGTAGGTTAGCTGGCTGAATTGGAATGACCACTCGTCGATGTAAAACCATTATTTCCTGTGGTGAGAAAAAGAACCAACAAGAGCTCAAAATGGACTTTTAGGTCCTCCTCTTTTGACTGACACCTCARTTGACCAACTGGGTTCATCTATCGGTTCTCCAGAGCCAATAATCTGTGAGAAATATTGCAACTTCCGGTTGTGTCACCCTGGGCTAGATTGACTGTAGAATTGGCCAATCAGCTCTGAGCTTCATTCTGATGCCACAGCTGTGTAGCCAATCACCTTACCTTTCATTTGGTATATAGTTTGAGGGGGTYGAAACTTTGTTTAGCCAATCGCAAGCCACTGTTTGAGAATGTTGTCATTTGTTAGCAGATGCCTCCATCTAGTGGACAAAGCAACGCTCACAGAAAACATTGTTTTAACATCCTTTCATCGACAGTTAGCTGACTAAACATACTGTTAAATGGAAAATATATTTGTTATGAAGTGTTTCAAGTGCTTCATGACATGGCAGAGTTATTTTTGTGGCCAGGAGAAGTAAAAATGTTTGGAAAAAAAAACACTTCCGGTCGGCCATTTTGAATCGCTAATTTCATCATATTTCAGGACAAATATGCATCAAAAGTAAGTGAAAAACAAATATTCTTTSGCTGCTGGTGGTTTTATAAGCTGTGTGGAATGTTAATGCGAAAAAAAAAGGATATAATTGTTTATTGTTGTGTTTTGGTTGTTTGTTGGTGGAGATTGGCTGAATGTACTCCTGTTGGTATAAATATTTCTGAATATTATTATTATTTTTTGATAATGTAATCATGCTGTGAGTTAATATGGATGGTAGAATGTGTTTTGTGGGGGTTTTATCTTTAATTTGAGCCCAGAGTGAAGTCTCTGTGTTGAAGCATTTAGAAATTACAGTGTTTTAGACAAAGTGTACAGTTTAAACATATTTGTACAAGTGTACAAATATGCAAAATGGGACATGCTGGATTGTACTATGTCTCAATTATTTATATTTTATGCTACTGTTACCAAATTTGAACTGGTAATGGTTGGGAATTAATATTTTGGTGCAGTAAAAATTGTTTCTTAATATTCTGTGTTACTTTATTGGTAAAAAATAAAAACTTATGGAGAAAAATATCTTGATTTTTGTGTAATTTACTTTAATATACTAAATACTAGTTACAGTTACAAAGAATATGACTGATGAAGTTAAAAATTCAGATTATTAGCTTTAAAAAGAGACCAAGCTTGTGAATTTACTCTAAAGGGTTCAAAAGCAGTACTTCATTTAATTTGTGTGTGCTTTTGAAGGCGTTTTATGGTATTTTAGACCCGAAGGTTATCTAATGAACATGTTATGTATAGCCCAAAGATGTATCCCTAACTTGTTCAAGGAACCYTAATAGGTCCTCTTTAAAGCCTGATAGTCTGACTCACTGTTGTCAAAGATGGGCTGGGACACGACGGGCTCCAGAGGAAACAGCTCCCCCGCAGGCAAGGTGATGGAGGCCTGGAAGCAAAGCCGCACCGAGTTCAGGTCAAACTCTTCCTCCCACACCTTGGCCTCAGGAACTGAAAGCAAAAACACAGAAAGGAAACGGGTGTGGGAGCACAATCACACAACCCAGCAGCCTGATTAGACTCCACATCCTGTTAAACGTTGCTGCAGTTTCTGAAAAATAAACATTTAGCCTTTGTTTCTAGGGTAATTTTTAGGCCACGCTGTTCAAACACTTTCCTGAAACAGTACAGCAAAACTAATACTGTAGGAATAAACTTCTGGTGCCAATGCAGCCACTGCTTCAAATCCCAGCCTACGTTAGGTTTCTTCACTAAAGTCCTGCAGGAATTTGGGATTTCCTTTTTGTAATAATTTAAGCTGACAAAATGTAACGTTTTGTTGTATAAACTGTTGAAAGAACTAAGAGAACTAAGAGAACTAAGAACAAAAGTCAAAGCTGCCGCCACTGGATCATTAGGGTCACCATGCTAAATACACACCTGGGTCTCTCACTCACAAGCACTCACAATACAATGGGCAGACAGAAATGCATAAAGCCTCAAACAAACATTTACCGTATTTTTCGGACTATAAGCC